ACACACACACACACACACACGGACATAGCCGATTATATTAGAATTAGTAGGAAGGATACTTTGTAAATAAAACCACACTCAGAGTACTGCAAACTAAGAAATAGAATATAGTTGTGGTCTTTGAAAGCATTGTCTGTTGACTGATCAATTCTTTCCTTAGTTATTTTATTCACAGGCTATGCTGATGGAGAAAATGATGCAGGAAAAGGAACGCGAGAAGGAGCGAGAACGAGAGGAGGGTGTTCACAAAAAAGCAAGTGTGGTATGTGATGGCTCACTGATTGAATTTTCCTCATTATCTGATGAATAGTCTAGCCGAAAACGAATAGAAAGCATTCTTCTAAACGTACCGCCTGTCATAGAAAAGGTCTAAAGACTCATAGCTTGACACTAGTGGGTATTCGCTAAATTAAATTGCTGAGAGTATTGAGGTATCTTTTCAGGAGCAAGATCGCCAATCTGATCAGACACCTGAAGAGCCTGAGGAAGACGCCAATAAACCGATGTTGGACTACTTAAGAACTTTAGTAAGTAGTCATCTAAGGCTTTGTGATTTCGTTTCAACTCTAACGAAGGTTTCTTCACTCAAAATCCCTGGTATGTGGTAGGCATGGTTGCGTGCTTCAACTATAAAAGTGGCGGTTACTGTGCATTAGTTAAAATATTTTTTCTTGACACAACTGTGGTCATGTCTGTGTCCAACACTGAACAAGGTGACAGTTGTCGCAAACTGAATTATGCCACGAGTACCCATTCTGTGCCATGTCAAATGCCACGCCCTTTCCGTCTCAGGGATATGGAGTGTAGCAACCTAAACGTTGTGCCTGTTCTTTGAGAGAGAGAGATAGTTGGTGAAACAGGATGTGGAGGAACGCTTTCGGTCTTACGAAGGCCTTACAGATCAAATCATCAAATTATTCAGGTCATCTTCACTGCAGTGAACCGAACTATTTTCAGGTCCTCAATCTGGTACATGCTCCACTCTCAGCAGCGCTGAAAAGCTGCTTGCTCTTGTCACCTGAGCAGTACAAGCAGTTGGTAGAAGTCTCGTGGCAACTGCTACTAAACGACGATCCGCACGTTGTTCTCACCGCTGGTTAGTACAGCCCTGGTATTATAGTGTTGGCAGGTCCACAATTAATGGGCTATGATGCTTGTGATTGCGTAGCTTCCACCCTGACCTCATGCCACAGCAGGTGGCAAGTGAGAAATGGTGTTCACCCTTAGTTTTTTTAGGTTCCGGTTGTGGGTCATCAAGGGAATGGTTGTTTCATTCTTATTACGACTAGTAACTTCCTTCTGACTGATACAACTTTTGGAGCAGAGGTATTTTAATGGTGAATGGTCGCGGTCCGGGGTGGAAGTTCGGAAAGTCTCCACTTCCAGTCGATCACCGTTCCATCGCCCAGGGCAGGGTAGTTGGCACCAGATTCGTTTGACATAAAGAAAAACCGTGGCATACCTACTGGCAGGTCATTGTGTAGGCCATTCAAAATGCCAGTGCCATTCTAAGTGGAAATAGAACGCATGACTTCTCTAAAGGAGGATTTTATCAACACGAGGGGCTAAAAAGCTTCCCCTAGCTTTTTGTTCTGCAACGTATGCACTCCAAAAGATTGATAGAGTAGCCGATGAACGGATTGTTTATGAGTTTTCTTTGTCGGCCTTTTTCTGGCTCCGGTATATTCCTTTAATTCCAGCATCTATGCTGGTTGCTGCTTGTGTTCGTCGACCGGAAGATGTGGTGAAAGTGGTGAGAAAATCGCTGGAATCGAAGAATGCCACCGAAAAAACTGAAGCCATACAAAGGTTTGTCCAGTGTAGCAATCAATTATCGATTTTCTCTTCCACGTAGGGCACTGTACATGTGGGGCCTACACTGGCCCTTGATTATAACTTTTTGTCCAAGACCAAACCCTTCTCATTCCAGGTTTTATGCATTGTGGAGGAATAG